GAAACCCCTTCTACTCAAGCATTTGATAAGCTGATGGAATTGAAGTTGGAGAATTTACCAATGCTGAGCCACATATGGGAAAAGGGTTTACAAGTTAGCTCAGGCTTTGGAAACCTGACATTACTGCGAGTATTGGGGTGTCACAAATTGAGATACTTGTTTTCACCGCACATAGCCAAACTTCTTACCTGCCTTGAGACAATAGAGGTTTTCAATTGTAGTGCGATGGAGAAAATTGTTGGAGAGGCAGAAGGAGGAGGAGAAAGTATTGAGGATGAATTGACATTTCGGCACGTGAATTCCATCGAACTTGAGGCTTTACCCCAACTTGAATCTTTTTGCTCTCAAGCTTATACTTTGAAGTGGCCAGCCTTGGAGAAAGTCCAAGTTTATGAGTGTCCAAAATTAAAAGCGTTTGTTCCTGAGTCTCTATATGGAAATCTATACAACATGTGGCTATGAAATGTCCACGTGGAAAGAAAAGAAGGTATGTTTTCAATTCAACCAAGTGCTCTGGTCAGTCACTATAAAATCAGTAGAAGATATATGTATAGCTTAATATATTTTCATGAATTGGCGTTGCTTTTTATTTTTCTTTGCCTTATCTTTCTTATGTCATTAGTCCATCTCCACTTTTTTTGTTAAATATTTTTTTTATAAACTTCTTTTCAGGATTTACTATTGTTTAAGCATTAGAGAATAACTTATTTACCATAATTTTGTCTTTAATTGGCACAGGGAAGCCATAAACCCCTAATACCTAAGCTCTATGTTCTTAAACATTATACTACGTACCCTGATAACACAAATGTAACTCAATAAAAATTACACTAATTTACTTATATGTTTTTAATTGGGCTCATGGACTATAATACAAAATAATCTCTAAACATAATAAACGCTCAGATCTAAACTTTCATGAACAATTTAATAAAAAATAATCTAAAAATTGGATTTATTTGAAATGCTTCTATATATGGTTCGTGAAAATGCTTATTTATATATGGCTCGTTAAAATGCTTCTAAGGATGGTATCATTTTTTAAAGTAGTACTTAACCATTAAGGATGCTTATTTATATATGCATTTTCTATTTTTATCATAGATAATAATTTTTTTTTATTCTTTATTTTTCATATCCTTCGAGAAGAATATCATCAGAAGCCAAGAAGCTAGGGACAAGACTACATGATATGTTGCAGTGCACATCTACAAGATACCATGACATACCAATTTCGTTCTTATCAGACACCATCGCTTTCATCACTGATTATGCATGTTCCATGTTAATGTTCTTCAAATCCTGCCATTGCATCATAACATCACATAATATAGTTATTATATTTGCTCTTTCGTTGTATTGAATAAAATGGATATATTTGGACCTTCCTTATTAGATGTAATTACGATATTGAATCTTTGTATATTTGGCTCAACTGTTGGTATTTGAATTATGAACATGATGATTATTCTTTAATTTGGACCAAGTGGATGTATAAACCAAAGTTCTTAATAGAAAGATCCCTGTAATATACAGTATTGACTATTTGGGCCTTCATTTTCATATAGTAGGGTTTATTTAGGCTCTTGAATTGCTTTAGGGTTTCGATTTATGTTCGGTTGTGGGCTTATTTGGAATTATTACTTGCAGTAATGTGAGTTAGTAATTTTAGTGCAACTTTTGTCTCTTTTGTTGTTTTCAGTTTCTTAAAATTTGTGCTTTAGATATCATGTTGATGTCTTCAATTATATTGTGGAAGTTTATCTAATAAAGTTTTCCATTGATAAAAAAATATATATATATATTTTAAAATAAATGTAATTACAATCAACGCCGCCCCACCTTAATATTTTGTAGACAAACGTTTTAATCCTTCATTTTTTTTCTTACGAATTTTTTTGTAAGCATGTTTTTGGAGTAGAAGTGCAGGGCCAGCCCGGAGAAGGGTGTATAGTCCCAAGGCAACGTTGGAAATAGACCATTTGTATATATAGCTCCACACGAGAAAATTCAATTGATTTTATTTGCGCGTGTATAGAATATTTTTTTTTAAAAAAAATACCTTTTATAATAAAAATGATCACATAAATAAATAATAAAAATTGGCTACATCCACGCTTACAAAACAATGATCACATAAATAATAAAAATTGGGCCCTCTCTTGAGTCGTGGCCCAGGACGATCGCACTCCTACCTTGGCTCAGGGCATGGTTAAGCTTCATTTACAAAGCTAAACAACTGATAAAATCAGTTCTACATTGTAATAGCTTTCATAAATGAAAATCAGTAGAAGTAATACATAACCGATTCTCTCTATCTCTCTCTCTCATGTCTTCCTCTTTCTTAGTTCAAAACTTTATACTACAACTGTTATCATAAGTGTGTCTCATCAAGTTCTATTTCTCTAGAAAAGATTTGTCGATATTCATGAAACAACAACACTGACATTATGCAGATAAGATGAACTAGTGAACCTACGTGACATTAATTTAGTGTAGAATTTTACGTATTCTTTCATTTTTTTTTTTTTTACTTAACATGTCTTAAAAGTTAAAATTTCTTGCGATTGGAGTCTAGCCCAGTAAAAAAGAGCATTGATTTGCAAACGAAAGGTCTCAGGTTCGATTCCCCACTAAACTTTTATAAATTTCTTACTTTTGTAGCAAACTATATTCTTCGTTTATTACTACTTTTGACATCCGATTTGAATTAAGAAAGAAATTCCCCTGTATTTGAAAAAAGAAAAAAAAAAGCACTTGATAAACTTCAGTTGATGCTGCCACATAATCTTTATTGAAATGTCTAATATGCGGATTCCTTTACCTTAATGAATTATGTAAGTCCATTTCGGGTACTTTGTATTAGAAAAGAAAAATCCATATATGACTATTTCTTGTCGTGATTTCAGATAGTTTAGTAAACAACTTTTATTGGACTTTGGATTCTGACTCATCCTCAATCCAACTCATCATCAATTAAATTTCTCCTCACCCGATTACGAATTAATAAACATAACAAAAGAGAGGATCCACTACCAAGACGACTTCTTACTCAAGAAGACCATAAAAAGAGTTCATTTGATGAAATATTCAAAATATTATGTGTAAGATCCCAATTCTTAGTGAAATTTGTATATGATTGGACCGATTGCAAATGTATTGATAAACTAGTTTTGTCTTCAAGGCTTTAGTATTGGGGAGACAAAAAGAACAAGTAATATACAAAGCCACTTAGGGGACAATTATTATATCTTATCTTTGAACCCAGTTCATCATGGCAGTGGTGGAAAAATTAGTGAAACTTAGTGAAACATATTCCAACACTATGCTGCTCTCTACTTTTCAGTTAAAAATTTAACTAAAAATATATAAAAACTATTTTAGGAGTTCTCGATAAAATTTAAACTCCATGCCCTCTAATTTAGGGAATTGTAAATGTTATAACTCTTTTTTAATTGGTTCTCGATTAAAAAATAATTTCCATTAATTAAAGGTTTAAAATACTCATAAAATAAAGCAGCATTAAATTATAGGGAGCCATTAGGAGTCCTTTCTCTCTCCTCAAATTTAAGAGCTCCTAAAAGTTTCCCAATTTTAGGAGGTGGATAGAAAGCATGGTTGTGGTTGTATTTTTCCAATTCCTCTCTAAAATTTGTCTATAGAGGTGGGTTAGGGAGCCCATTGTGGATGCTCTTACAAGGGATAATTTATCCTCTCCCTTTGTTGGTATGTGAAAAGTGAGAATCGAATCGAAGTATTTGCTAGCTTGGGGGTTGTACTTGATTTCCTTCTGTTCTATGAACTAGTGAACCTATGTGACATTAATGTAGAACAAATGAAATGGTTGTTTTATATATTCTTTCTACATCTTTTTTGGGTCATTCATTAGGGAGGGGGAGGGGGAGGGGGGAGTATTATATTGAGTTTCCTTAAGATTGTCTCATGTGTGAATTGAACCTGGATGGACTCGAGAAGGGGGGAGTTTGACCCACTCTTACACTGTGGTGCCACCTCATGTGCTATTCTTTATACTTTTTTCGATCACTTAATATGTACTTATAATCTCCTTATTTTCAATTTAAAGAATAAATAAATAAATAAAAACACAAACTTTATGAACATGAAACTTTTAAGATGGAATGCATAAGAAATAAAAAAATTATGTGATTCCAAGTTAAAATCCGTTATATGTGCACTAATCTTTATTGAAATTTCTAAGATGCAGATTCCTTTACCTTAATGAATTATGCAAATCCATTTTGGTTACTTTGTATTAGAAATAGATCCATATATCCATATAATCAGGAGAGCACATGGCGACCTGATCTTCCAGCGAATGACTGTCATTACCTCCAATTTAAGGGCTCTAATGTAAATATCACGGCTTCTATCATGATGGCTTCCTGCAACATCAAATAAAGATATTTCGAAACGGAAAATCTTGAAAGTTCAATTTTCATGAAATATATTCAGTTATTACATGTGGTTTCAGACAACAACTTTGAACTTCTGCATTGTTTTAATTCACAGATAGAGTAGATGGGGAAGAGAATGAGTTTGTGTGTCATGTTGTTCTTCAAAAGATAAAAGCAATTAAAAGAGAAACAAACCATCTTAATAAATTTTAATAATGAAAACTCACCCAAAACTCAATCAGAGAAAATCAAAATAAAAACACAAACCGAAAATAATGCAAACCAGAGAATGTAGGTTCACAGCAGCCACAAAGTTTGAAACCACTGTGAAGCTGGTCTACTGCAAAGAATATTTGATTTTAAAAAAACTGTGCATGTTAAACTTTTGTGTACTTTTGCAGTAAACTATGTTTTTAATTTCTAAACTCATATAACATTCAATTTGAATTAAGAAATCATCTTGTATGGGCATAACAAGTACTTGTTTTCTACATTAATAGATTGAACAGGAGGATGACATAATGCAAAGTCAAAAGCATCTTGCTGGTTAACCTGTGAGTGTTGCCAAACAGTTGCTGCTCACGATCCAACGGCCTATGATGCAAAATGAATTCCAGGTACTTTCTGTATTGAAGGCTCTTTGAGTTAAAGGTGATTGCCATCTAGGGGTGGGCATCAAGATTGGAAAACCGGAACATCGAGCCACATTAGATGGAAAAAACCAGATGTTTGGGCCTAAATTAAACGTACCCAGCCCAACACGGAGAAAGCCCAGAAAAAAAAGCTACAGGACTCAAGCAGTTTGGGCTTTTGCAAAACGGAAGGCAAAGCCCAAAGTCCAGAGAGGCCCAGCCCAAGACTCGTCAAAATGTGGCAAGCAAACTTGGGCCCCAAAAGAAAAGCAGTTACCTTTGGGCTCCAGACAAATCAGAATGGGCCCAGCATAATTAAAAGAAAAAGGAAGAG